TTTATGAGCACTTGAAAAATGTATATATTCTGTAGTTGTTGGGTACAGTGTTCTATTTACGTCTTTTAGGTCAATTTTCTTAATTTTATAATTCAAATCTTAATGTCCTAACTGATTTTGCTTGTCTACTTGTTCTATCACTCACTGGGTAATAGGAGTTAAAATCTCACACTGATTCAACTGTTATTCCTTTCAGTTCTTCAGTTTTTGCTATATTGCAACCACTGGTATGGTCTCTCTTACTATAGTTTTGTCTTTTTGAGAATGTCATATAAATAGAATAATACCTTATGTAACCTTTTGAGACTGGCTTCTTTCACTCAACATAATGCCTATAAGATTCATACAAGCTGTTGTGTGTATTAAGGGTTCGTTCCTTTTTATTGCTGAGTAGTAATCCATTATATGGATAAACCAAATTTGTTTATCCATTCTCCCATTAATGCACATATGAGTTGTTTCTTCTTTGGTGATTATAAATAGAGTTGGTATAAACATTCATGCACATATTTTTGTATGACCGTAAGTTTTAGTTTCTCTTAGGTAAATACCTAGGAAACGGATTGCTGGGTCACATTGTAAGTGTATGTTTAACTTCATAAGAAGCTAACAAACTGTTTTCCAGAGTAACTGCACAATTTGCGTATCTAACTTTTCACACTTTACTTAGAATAAATATTTTACCTCTTTAAGTGGAATGTAGAAACCTTATCATTATATGTCCCTTAGTATCCTCCTTGTTTTCTGTTGTAATTGTCCTGTATATTACATCTACATTAATTTAAAACTCCATTTGATAATGTTATAATTTTTGCTCTCAACCGTCAAATGTATTTTAAAAAACTCGAGAGAAGAGTCTATTATATTTACTCAGAAATTTACTATTTCTTTTGCTCATCCTTTATTAATGATGTGCCAGGTTTCTTTCAGGTATCATTTCCTTTTTGTCTGAAGAACTTCCTTTAGTAATTTTTTTAAAGCAGGTCTGATGACAACAAATTCTCTTAGTTTTCCTCCTTCTGTGAATGTGTTTATTTCACCTTGATTCTTAAATAATATTTTAACTGGATATAGAATTTTAGATAGACAGATTTTTTTTTTCCTTTCCACACTTTAAAAAATGTTGTGCTACTTCATTTGGGTCTCCATGGTTTCTGGTGAGAAATCAGCAGCCATTTGAATCGCTTTTCCTCTGTAATAAGGTGTTGTTTTTCTTTGACTGCTTTCAAATTATTTTGTTTGTCTTTAGTTTTCAGCATTTCGATTATGGTGTGTTTGGGTGTGAATTTCTTCGGGATTATTCTATTTGGGATTCACTGAACTTCTTGAATCTGTAAGTTACAGTCTTTGGTATGTTGTTTATGATGAGAACCACACGTGCATTCCTCAGAAGTGATACCAGGAGTTCATAAACAGTTTTATCAGGTATCTGTCAAAAGCTTCTCCCTCTAAATACTCTCTTCAGCACTTACCAATTCCCTGGGGCTCCCTTTTGATCTTCCATATATAATTCTGGGGCTTTATTTATTTCATTCTGCCACACAGTTACCAGAACTGCCCCCATGTCCAGGGCTAATGGAGGGAGGTCAGCGAGAGTTAAAAAAGCAGTGGGGATCACCTTACCCTCTTGAGACTATAACTCTCTGATTGGAAAGTTTCCTGCCTTCAGTTTTTGGTTCTTCTGGGGGACCTCTATCTTGCTCTTTGAGGCTGAGCTAGAGGCTTCTCTGGAACTTCTCTCTGGCCACACCAATGCCCATCTCCTCATTTCAGGCTACCTAAATCCAGGCTGTGGGATACTAGAGGAGGAAAAAATAGTTTACTCACCACTGATTAGGTGATACTTTGAATTCTGTCCTTCTTCAGTCCACCTAATACTATTTACTTTTCAGAGTCCTCAAAAGCTGCTACATGCATTCTGTCCAGGTCTTATAGCTGCATTCAGTGGGAGAGTCAGAGTGGAGTGTGCTTACTCCATCTTACCCAGAACTGGAATCCTTATAATAATTTTGTAACTAAAAACAGCAATAGTAAGGGAGACTGTTTATTCATAAAAAATAAATCAAATTAAACAAATTTGACATGTAAGCATTTGGAATACTAGGCCAAAATTTTCTTGAAACTTTCCATAGAAATTTAATCTAGGGAAAACTTCAGGTAGAAACCAACTTTAAAATTTCACCAAACCAAGAGCAAGTCAGGGATGCCTGCTGTGTTAGTCAGGCTTCTTAGTTACAGATCACAGAAAAGCTACTCTAGCTGATTTAAGATGAAAAATAGCTTACAAAACAAGTATTATAAGAAGACAAAAATAACCAAATCAGAAATGAAAGTGAGGACATTACTAATGACTTTATAGAAATCAAAAGGATTATAAGAGAATACTATGAACAATTACATGCCAAAAAATTAGATAACCTAGATAACACTGACAAATTCCTCAAAACATCACAAATTACCAAAACTGAATCAAAAAGAAATAGAAAATCTGAACAGAGCTATAACAAGTAAAGAGACTGTGTCAGTAATAAAAAAATCTCTCAACAAAGAAAAGTCCAGGGCCAGATGGCTTCCTTGGTGAATGCCACTGAACATTTAAAGAAGAATTAAGACCAATCCTTCTCAAACTCTTCCAAAAAGTAGAAGAGGAAGGAACACTTCCTGACTCATTCTGTGAGGCCAGCACTATCCTGAAAGCAAAGTCATATGAAGACATCACAAGAAAACTACAGATCAACATCTTTTGTGAATATAGACACAAAAATCCTCAACAAAATATTAGCAAGCCAGACAGAATATTAATAGATTAAACACTTTGACCAAATGGAATTTATCGTAGAAATGCAAGGGTGGTTCAACATAAGAAAATATATCGATGTAGTATATCACACTGATAGAATGAAGGAAAAATACCACATGATCATCTCAACTGATGCAGAAAAAACATTTGATAAAATCCAACACCCTTTTATGATAAAATCTCAGAAAACTAAGAATAGAAGGGAGTTTCCTCAGCATGATAAAGGATAGTTATGAAAAACACACAGCAAAAATCATACTCAGTGGTAAAAGACTGAAAGCTTCTCCCCAAAGATCTTTTACCTAATAGCTTTCACAACTGCTATTAAATGTTGTACTGGAAGTTCTAGCCAGAGCAATTAGGCAAGAAAAATAAATAAAAGGCATCTGAATTGGAAAGGAAGAAGTAAAACTATGTCTATTTACAGATGACATGATCCTATATATAAAAAAATCCCAAAGAACCCACAAGAAAGCTATTAGAGCTAATAAACAAATTCAGCAACATTGCAGGGTACAAGATCAACATGCAAAAATCAGTTGTGTTACTATACACTACCAATGAGCAAAAGGAAATTAAGAAAACAATTTCATTTATAATAGCATCCAAACGAATAAAATGCCTAGAAATAAATTAAACCAAGAAGGTGAAAGATTTGTACACTGAAAATTACAAAACATTGTTGAAAGAAAGGACCTAAGTAAATGGAAAGACATCCTATGCATATGGATTAGAAGACAACATTGTTAAGATGGCAATACTACCCAAGTGATCTACAGATTCAATGCAATTCCTAGCAACATTCCAATGGGCTTTTCTGCAGAATTGGAGAAGCCAATCCTCAAATTCATATGGAATTTCAGGGGGCCCAAGTAGCCAAAACAATCTTGAAAAAGAAGAACAAAGTTGGAGGACTCGCACTTCCTGATTTCAAAACTTACTACAAAACTAGATAATCACAACAATGTGGTACTGGCATAAAGACAGACACATAGATCAATGGAATAGAAATGAGAGTCCAGAAATAAACCGTATATCTATGACCAATGAATTTGTTTCGATTTTTTTATTGTGGTAAAATACATGTATTGTAAAATTTACTGTATTAACCATCTTTAAGTGTACAATTCAGTGGTATTAAGTACATTCATATTGTTCTGTAACCATCGCCACATCCATCTCCAGAACTCTTTTCATCTTGCAAAACTGAAATTCTGTACCCATTAAACAATAACTCTTTATTTTCCCTTTCCTCCAGCCCCTGACAACCAGCATTCTACCTTCTGTCTCTTGATTTTGACTACTCGCAGTCCCTCATATAAGTGGCATCATAAAATATATGTCTTTTTTCTAACTGGCTTATTTCACTTAGCATAATGTCCTGAAGGTTCATCCATGTTGTAGCATGTGTCAGAATTTCATTCCTTTTTAAGGCTGAATAATATTCCATTGTATGTATAGATGACATTTTGTTTATCCATTCATCCATAGATGGACACGAGTTGCTTCCATGTTTTAACTATTATGAATAATGCTGCTATGAGCATAGGTGTACAAATATCTCTTTAAGACCATGCTTTCAATTCTTACAGGTAAGAACCAGTCACCCTTTATAAAAAACTCAGTGCTCAGGCTACACTCTAGACAGAGAAATTGCTGTGAGTAGGACTCAGGCATCACGATTTTAAATCTTTATAGTTGATCTATATGTGGTCAAAGTTGAGAACTACTGACCTAGAGCATCACAGCACGTGATAGATATTCAATAAAGAGCTGAATGATTAACTTCTAACTTGAGAAAGGCAATAAGGACAGGCTGAACGTTACAGTTTGGTGACGAATGTTCTGGCTTTCAGAAGCATAGTTACTGATGCAAAGTTATCACTGATAGATTGGGACAGGTTTAAAACTTGATTCCGGAGGTTACTTGATGCTCTGGACAGAGAACAATCAGTCCTTTTCTAGGACAGAGGATGAGAACCTTTTTATTCTCAGCAGTTAAGCAACTCACCAAAATTTTATTGCCAGAACAACATCTAGGCTTCTTAGCTACTTTCAGATTTAAGGAGCCAATAGAGAAAAGATAAATACCTATGAATCTCTGGATTAGACCCAGAGATTAAATTTCTGTAGCCAAACATGCTGTCTCTGGAATGTGTTTTTACCTTAAATGCCAAAAACACCTTCAGGATGAGGAAGATGTGATCTCTCCTCAAAATACCTGTATTACTGCACATCCATCAAGCTTGGAGAGTAGGCAGTTTACTCTCAGCTAGCTTTCCTTAGGTTTCCGACAAGCTTTTCACCTGGAAGTTTAGTAGAACACACTAGATTCTAATGGAAAATTAGTTGTCTCAAACTAATGAATTCATTTACACAGTCACCTTTTCTCATGAATCTTCTCTTAATGTTTGTTTCATTATATGTAAGCTTGAAGATTTGAAATAAATGCTTAGGGATTGGTTAACCTTTAGCTGCTTGCATATAATTACTTAAATGAAACTATTTTTGATTGGCTGACTTTCAGAAGCATGTGTGAGGTGAACTGTGGAATGTGATGTGGAGTGAGACTGTTGATGACTGGCTGACTTTCAGAGGAGGCTATCATTGATTGGCTGATTGCTGATGAGAAGTTATTATTGATAGATTAGGATTGGTTTAAAATTGGTTCTGGTTGTTACTGTTGTGAGGGCCAATAAATGGTCAACCCTTTTCTGAAGAATAAGAACTTTTTTATTCTCAGCACTTTATTTAATTTCACTCATTTGTAAAATAAGTAGACCAGACCATATCAATATTTCTCAAAGTATATAGCACACCTTGGTGCTAAGGCATGTAAATAGGAGTGTTGTGTAAATAAGAGTTCTCTGGCAAATAAAGAGTTCATTACAGCTGGATTAGGTACAGATAGACAAGTTTCTTCATTACATAAGTTTTCAGAGTGTTTAATATGCACAGCATGAATCTACAACTGGGAAATATAGTAAAGTTATTTGACTATTTTTGAGAAAGATTTCCTAGGAGTAGACTTTCTCAAAACACATTTTGATAAATACTATTCTAGATGACCATCTAGGTTAGGAGTTGACAAACTACGGTCCAATGGCCAAATTGGTCTTGCTCCTTGTTTTTATGCAGCCTGTGAGCTAGGAATGGTTTTTACATTTTTTAATGGTTGGAAAAAATGTCAAACCGATAATGTTTTGTGATACCTGAAAATTACATGAAATTTAAATTTCAATTACCTTGAATAAAGTTTTATTGGAACACAACCACATTCATTTGCTTACATATTGTCAAGGGCTGCTTTTACATTATAACAGCAGAGTTGAGGAGTTGCAACAGAGATCATATGTAGTGCTCTAATCAGTTCACATTGCTGGGTGGTGCCACCATAAATTGCAGTGATGCAGTTATAACTGAAAAGTATTTCAAGTGTCATGTGTGCTGCAATAGTGCAACATTTTATTTTTTATTACCAGTGCATCCCCATTGTGTCAAAACAAGTAGAGCGGGTAAAAGTAGACTCCAAGTGTTGTGTTTTTAAGGCACAGTGGAATGTAGAATATTTTGTTGTCAAATTACATGGCAAATCATTGTGTTTATTGTGCAATGACATTATAGCTGTGCTATAATGGACCCATGATTTATGACAAAGATGGTATTGCAGATCAGAGGGAAAAGAAAGCCCCATCCAGATGAAAAAATGTGAACTTGACCTTACCTCACATCATATATGAAAACAATTCAAGGTGGATTATAAATCTAAGTGTGAAAGACCAAATAATAAGACTTTGAAAGATAATATAGAAGATGATTTCATAACTTTGGAGTATGGAAAGTTTTCTTAAACTGAATACATAAAGCACTAACCATAAATGAAGATTCATAAATTTGACTTATAATTAAGATCTTTTCATCAAAAGATACCACAAAGAGAATAAGACAAGCCACAATTCTTTAGAATTTAAATGGCCAATTCCATGAAAACCAAGAGTTCAATTAAGTGACACTTGTATTAAGTCCATCTCAAAAGGATAGCAATCACAGAGCTCAAATTTGTGGAAAAGAAAGCTAACAATCTTAAGTTTCCTAGTCACAAAAGTGTATAATAAATGTATAATACTCATTCTCAAAAATAAAACTTAATTTATCAAATGAGTCATAAATGACTTGTTGATATTTATTAATACTATTAAGCAGTACTTTGAGAAGAATACAGTAGGTGGTATTAGAACTAATATGTTCAAACATTTTACAAAAAAATTATTTGTTTTTCATTCATATTACACCAACCACAACATTTGTAAACCTGACTAATTCTGTTAGATACAGAATTAAACCTGACTAAATTGAAAAGAAAACACATTACAATGCAATTATCCACGTGATTGTCATTTAGAGCCCTGGCTTTACTGAAATAATCATTAGACTAGTAAATAAACCTCAACAAAACCAGTGCACTATTTTATGTCAATAGATGCATTAGCTTTATTGTAGCTGGTGGGCAAAAACAATTGGATGAAACTTCTGGAGGATGACACATTTCACAGTGAAATGTTTTTCTACCCTTTCCTTCATCTGGTAAATATAGAAACCATTAGCAGTTTAAATGTGGCCAGTTTAGGTCAATAAAAACTATGAAAGCAAAATTTTAAAGTTATTATTTCAAACTCAGTAATAGAATCCAACAGACACATATTATGTGGCTCAATCAAATGATTCCATGGCTTTCATATTTAACTACTAAAAAGAATCATCTCAGCAGTAGAGATTTTAGTCATCAAAATTTCCTCTATGTAACCTAGTTCTTCATGCTAAAAAAAAGCTTTATAAAAAGTTCTTCAGCAGGAAGTATATGGGAAATCCTTATATCTTCCCCCTCAATTTTGCTGTGAACTGAAACGGCTCTAAAAAAGTAAATTCTTAAAAAAAAAAAAAAATGGCTGAAGAAGGACACTCCTTTTTTAGGGAAATTCACATCTTACAGCCCATTGCTTGCAATTTGGTCATGTGGCCATACATACCTGCATCAGGGGCCAAGAAATGTAATTTTTTTTGGTGAGGAAGATTGTCACTGAGCTAACATCTGTGCCCATTGTCCTCTATTTTTGTATGTGGGATGCTGCCACAGCATGGCTTGATGAGCGGTTTGTAGGTCCACGCCCAGGATCCAAACCCGCGAACCGTGGCCCCCCGGCCGCGCGAAGCAGAGTGTGCAAACTTAACCACTACACCACCAGGCTGGCCCCATAGGAAATGTAATTTTTAATCTCGGCTGCCACGTGCCTACCAGAAAGAGAGAGAAGAGGTATTGCTGGGGATAATTAATAGTCTCTACTATGCCAACTAACAACTTTGGTCAAGCAACTTTATCTCTATATCCCCCATACATAAGAAAGTGCCTGGATATAGCAGAGATGCTAAGAAGGATGGGAAATGAATGGGAAAGTGAAAAAAAAAAGTTCTTCTTGCAATGCAATGTTGGAACGTAGCCTATCATTTTTACCTCATACTATATATTACTATTTTGTACCTAACACTTAATTCATTTTGTCATTCTAATAAATAGATTTTTGTTTGGGAGGATTCCAGAGAAAAATATTTTTTTGTCAGATGTTGGAAAACAGAAGACCCTTATGATATTCACAACCTATTTACTATGTGCCAAGCACTATTCTAAGTATTGCACGTCCATTATCTCTCACAATTTCATTTGGAAGTACAACTCTTATAATCATTTGGAGAGGAGGAAAGTAAGACTTAGATAGGTTAAATAACTCAGAACAGCTGAAGTTGAGGTCCAAAATGAATGTTTTTTCATAGGCAGTTGAAACAAAATTCTAAACTGAGAAACACTTGGTGACCTATTATGGAAGCCATGTCATGTATATTAAGACTTCATTGACAGAGAACAAACAGTGGCTAAAAATATAATACACTGATTGTGCCAAGGAATCTAAAATCTATTGATTGTCTGAAGTTAGTTAAAATTGTTGAATACTGAAAAGAATGAGGGTAAAATTATATACTGGTCCAAGGGAAAGGCTATAATTGGAGACAACTGATGAGACCCTAGAATTGCTAAAGTCCTTATAAAGGAGCAACGTTCAGAATGTAGATATTAAAAAAATAAATTAGGCCCACCATGACACATTTCAACAGACAACAGCGGAAGTAATTCAATGCTTGTTGCTCTATATGCTATCGATTCTATCAGATTATGCCTTCACCCTCTTTGTAAACCAACCAACTAACCAACCAACCAACCAACCAACCAACCAACCAACCAACCAACCAAAACAACCTAAATTTTTGTGTGTGTGTGTGAGGAAGATCAGCCCTGAGCTAACATCCATGCTAATCCTCTTTTTGCTGAGGAAGACCGGCTCTGAGCTAACATCTATTGCCAATCCTCCTCCTTTTTTTCCCCAAAACCCCAGTAGATAGTTGTATGTCATAGTTGCACATCCTTCTAGTTGCTGTATGTGGGATGCGGCCTCAGCACGGCCGGAGAAGTGGTGCGTTGGTGTGCACCCGGGATCCAAACCCCGGGGCCGCCAGTAGCGGAGCGCGCGCACTTAACCGCTAAGCCACAGGGCCGGCCCCAAAACAACCTAAATTAATAATACAGAAGTATATAAAATAAAAAACGAAAGCCCCTTTTCTCCATACTCTCTTTCCAAATCCTAATTCCTAAAATTAATCACTGTTAAAATTTGACGTGTATGCTCCCAGGCTCTATGTGTGTGTGTGCGTGTGTAGATAGATAGACATATACATATACACATATACTTATGTTTTAGTCAAACAGAGTCACACTATATTCATTGTTCCATAGTCAACTATAAAAAAATACAACTTATTAAATAAACCACCATTTCATAACTAAATCGAAAAGTCACCTTTATAATGAGGGTTAGTTTCTGCCTCTGTATTTTTTCTACTAGTGTAATTGTCTACTCCAATACTTATGCTAGACTGTTTTGATTATGGTAGCTTTATGGTAAGGTTTAATACCTGAAGGCAGTTGTTTTTCACAATATTTTGGCTACTCTATTCTTTTTCATAATATTTTGGATATCCTTGGAGATTTTTTCACTTCTATATGAACTTTTCCCTAGGAACTTTTGTATATAAACAATTTTATCTAGTTCCATAAATAACCCTTCTGATTTTGATTATGTTCATTTTATGTATTAATTTGGGGAGGACTGAATTTTTTATATTAACTCTTCCCATTCATGATACATGTGGTATGTCTATTTGTTCAAGTTTTGTTTTATGTCTTTTAGTAAGATTACAAAATTCTTTATCACATGTTTTTTTAAGTATTTACTATGTTTTGATGCTATGATAATGGGCAAATTTCCAATCTAATAGGTTAGAAAAGCTATTGGTATTTGTATATTCATCTTGTATCCAACCATTTTAACAAATTTTCTTAGTAGTTCTTTGAGTTTTTCACTAGCATTTCCAGTTTTTCACTGGAATGTCATCTGCGAATAGAGATATTTTTCTCCTTTACCAATATTTTCTTATTGCATGACCTAGAATTTCCAAAACAAGGTTAAATATTCAGTAGACGTTTACCATTTGGAGAGAAAGGGCTACTCAACATCTGAACCATTTCTTTGTTGAGGAATTTCTTGCCCAGTGAATCAAGTCAGGCCTGCCTCTTACATGTGAGCAGAAAAAGCCAAATACTTGCCTACCCAACCCCCTTGAGATTAGGATATTGGCACTTGAATTAGACTCAGCTAATCAGATGTGCCCCATTAGGACCCTGAGATAATGAAGCAAAGATGCAGGACCAATGAAGAGTTCATTTTTTCACAATGGCACAGCACTCTATTTCCAGGGGTAGCAGTGCCCATGGCACCATCCATAATTGAATAAAGGAAGCTTCTATGCAAGCTGTGGAATATAGCCTCAATCTCAGAGCAGCACTGGCCTTCCAGACTGATTCTATGGCATGAATTTCATGTAATTCTCACTACCTGGCCTCCTTTTTTTTCTGGTCAATTTTCTAAGCCTCGTTCTCTAGCTTTACTGCCAATTCTGTGAGCCATATATAATATTCTTTAAAAAAAATTTTATTGGGGTAAAATCACATAACATAAAAACAACCATTTTGAAGTGAAGAATTCAGTGGCATATAGTATATTCACAATGTGTGCAACCACTACCTCTAGTTCCAAAACATTTCCATCACTCCAAAGTAAAACCCCTGTAACCACTAAGTAGTTTCTCCCCATTATCCCCTCACCACCAGCCCCTGGCAACCGCCAATTTGTATTCTATCTCTACGGATTTATCTATTCTGGATATTTTGTATCTATGGAATTATACCATATGTGACCTTTTGTGTCTGGCTTCTTTAACTTAGCATAACATTTTTGAGGTTCATCTATGTCGTAGCATGTATCAGTACTTCATTCCATTTTGTTGCTGAATAATATTCCATTGAATGTACATACCATAATTTGTTTATCCATTCATCCATTGATGGATATTTGGATTGCTTCTACCTTTTGACTATTATGAATAGTGCTATTATGAACATGCATGTACATGTGCATGTACTGTTGAAGTATATGTTTTCAATTCTGTTGGTATATACCTAGAAGTGGAGTTGTGGAGTCATATGGTAATTCTATTTTTAGCTTTTTGAGGAACCACCAAACTGTTTTCCACAGTGACTGGACTATTTTACTTCACTACCAGCAATGTGCAGGGTTTCCAATTTCTCTACCTCCTCCCCAGCACTTGTTATATTGTGTTGCTGTTGTTATTATTATTATTATTGCCATCCTAGTGGGTATGAAGTGGTACCTCATTATAGTTTCGATTTGCATTTCCTTAATGACTAAGAATATTGAGCATCTTTTCAATTGCTTTTTGGCAATTTGTATATCTTCTTTGGAGAACTGTCTATACAAGTCCTTTGCCATTTTTAAAATTGGATTGTCTTTTTTGTTCTTAAGTTGTAAAAATTTTTTATATATTCCAGACACTAGTCCCTTGTCAAATATATTATTTGCAAACATTCTTTCCCATTCTGTACATTGTCTTTTCAATTTTTGATTATGTCCTTTGGTGCACAAAATTTTAAATTTTTATGAAGTCCACTTTATCTGTTTTTTCTTTTGTTGCTTGTTCTTTTGATGTAATATTTAAGAATTCATTGCCAAATCCAGGGTTAAGATTTACTACAATGTTATCTTCTAATAGTTTCTAGTTTTAGCTCCTATATTTAGGTCACTGATCCATTTTGAGTTAATTTTTGTATGTGGTGTGAGGTAGAGGTACAACTTCATTCTTTTGCATGTGGTATCAAGTTGTCCCAGTGTCATTTGTTGAAGAGACTTTTCTTTTCCCATTAAATGATCTTGGCACCTTTGTCAAAAATCAGTCAGTCAATGACATCAAAGGCACAGGCAACAAAAGAAAAAATAGACAAATAGGACTAATCAAAATTTTAATACTTTGTTCATCAAAAGACACTATCAACACAGTAAAAAGGCAACCCACAGAATGGAAGAAAATATTTGCAAATCATATATCTGATAAAGAGTATCAAGAATATATAAAGAACTCCTAAAACTCAACAACAAAAACCAAACAACCCAATTCAAAAACGGGCAAAGGACTTGAATAGACATTTGTCTAAAGAAGATAAAAAATGGCCAAGAAGAAGTTGGGGCTGGCCCAGTGGCGTAGGGGTTAAATTTGTGCTCCACTTCAGCAGCCCAGGGTCCGCAGGTTTGGATCCCAGGCATGGACCTATGCATCACTTGTCAAGGCATTCTGTGGCAGCATCCCATATAAAGTAGAGGAAGATGGGCACAGATGTTAGCCCAGGGTTAATCTTCCTCAGCAAAAAGGGGATTGGCAACAGATGTTAGTTCAGGGCTAATGTTCCTCACACACACACACACAAAAGTGGCCAAGAAGCACATGAGATGATGCTCAACATCACTAATCATTAGGGAAATGAAACTCAAAACCACAATGTGATACCACCAGATATCCATTAGGATACCTACTGTCAAAAAAACAGAAAATAGCAAGTGTTGGCAAGGATAGAGAGAAATTAGAAACTTGTGCACTGTTGGTGGGAGTGTAAAATGGTACAGCCACTGTGGAAAATAGTAGGTGCTTCCTTAAAAAATTAAAAGTAGAATTACCATATTACCTAGCAATTCCATGTCTGGACATATAAGCAAAATAATTGAAAGCAGAGTCTTGAAGAGATATCTGTACACCCAAGTTCATAGCAGCATTATTCACAATAGCCAAAAAGTAGAAGCAACTCACGTGTCCATCAATTGATGAAGAATGGAGAAGTAAAATATGGTATATACGTATAATGGAATATTATTCACCCTTAAAAAGGAAAACTTAAAAAAAAAAAAAAACTCTGACACATACTACAACATGGATGAACCTTGAGGAAATTATGCTAAGTGAGATAAGCCAGGTACAAAAAAACAAATACTATATGATTCCACTTAAATGAAGTACTTAGAGTAGTCAAAACCATAGAGACAGAAAGTAGAATGGTTGTTGCCAAGGGCTAGAGAGAGGGAATAATGAGGAGTTATTGTTTAATGAGTATAGAGTTTCAATTTTGCGAGATGAAAGAGTTTTTGAGATTGGCTACTCAACAGTGTGAATGTACGTAACACTATTGAACTGTACACTTAAAATGGTAAAATGGTAAAGATGGTAAACGTGTATTTTACCACAATTTTTTAAAGTTAGTACAGTAGTTACCTTTGGAGAGGTAGGAAGGAGTTTTGATGAGGAAGGGGCATACTCATTTACTATCATTTTTTTACTTTACTATAATTTTAATGGAATTTTAGGAGTTAGGCAAAATCATAAATTTAAACTGTTGTGTAGATTTCTGATTTTTTTAAGAGATAATACTAAAGTGCCAATTTGTGAAGGATAGGCTGAAATCAGATAAACCCAATGGCAATAGAGACCTATAGGGAGCAGTTATAATAGTCAAATTTGAACAGACTCGTGTAGGTGGACTCCAGCTACTGGGAGTGGGCTGTTAGGATAGATTGGAATTAGCTGATTGGGTCATACAGACTCTAAGAGTATTTGCAAATTTTTTATCAAGGAAATCTCTTCCTCTCTCTTCCAGTACCTCTAGAACTGATACAATACACCAACAACCCAATTCAAACAAACAAACAGCTGTCTTGGCATGCTCACATTACTGTGATTCTCAAGAGCTTCCAATTTATCCGTACTCACTGTACCCCTCAGCTTCATTTCCATTAAATATTGGAATTTGGCATGGATTATTTTATTCCTCCCATTTTAGGTCAACCTCAGCCTCAGACTATTACGTGGCATTATCCAAAGTATACGATTAGACAGACAACAAATGAAGTCTAGGTACATTCTACCTGGGGAAGAGGAAAGATACTAAAAGGCTAGAAGAGATGGAGGGAACCAGCACTTCTCTAAAGCTGTGCTATTGATTTTAAACAGGTCATGTCATTTAATTAGACATATTATGTCATATTATGATAACCCTATGAGGTATATATTGTTATTGTCTGTTGTATAAGTTAATAAAAAGAGGCTTGGAGAGCTTTGATAACGTTCCCAAAGTTAGCTAAATCATACAGAATAAGAAAATATAGTTCAGAACTCAGGTGGTCTAAGTCCATTCTGAGATTGTTTTCTGTCCTGCCAGGGATGGTTAGCTCTGAGTTTAGCTTGATTATAACCAGAAAGAAGTCAGAAATCAGCCTTTGATTGAGATAAGAATGCATCACTGGCTTTTTTCATTTCTCCATGCACCTTTTCCCAGTGGCTGTGGCAAAGACGCTTCACTAAATGGAGAACGGGTCCACACTTTGCCAATATGAAACAGAATTCCCACTCAATAGTTTGTGTTTGGTGCCTAAATATACTCCAAAAGGATAAACAGGTTCAAATTCTGTATTTTGAAATTTGGAGCTGTAGAATAAAACATCACAAATTCAATGTTGATTATGTTTAGATGTTAAGTCTATTCTTGCTGCCAAATGACAAAACAAAATAGTGATGATCATTGAGTTTGCATCAATGCAGTCTTTGTGCTTACTTATTCATGAATGCTACACTGATTTTTTCCCCAACTCATAAAATGTTTATAAGAATACAAGAGGGAACACACTGAAAAGTTTTTAAATATTTAGTAATTGGATGGCAAGTTTTCAAATTATGCTGGAAAATTAAAGTCATCTTTCTTGTTTAATGCAACAAACCTGTATTAGATTTTTGAAGTAGTTTGTTGCTTAAAAGAGATCAAAATCTCTCTTTTTATGTTTAGAACCTGCTTTACTTGTATGGGACATAGAAAAAAATGAATATATTTCTAGATCTACATAAAGCAAACATTTGTTAGAATATCATTTCCTCCAATTTCTCCATCCCAAGCTGACCTATTTTGCCATTTTCTAATCTTGTATTTCTACTTATTGTGAGAAGCACTTGACCACTGAGATGACTGTTAACTCCTTGAAGACAGTTCCAGGCTTTAAATTTCATTCTTTCCAGCACCCAGAGCAGTGGTTCTCAACCTTGGCTGCAGGTAAGAACCAATTGTGATGGTTAAATTTATGTGTCATCTTGACTGGGCCATGGTGCCCAGATATTTGGTTAAACATTATTTCTGGGTGTGTCTGTGAGGATGTTTATAGATGACATTAACATTTGATTAGTAGATTGAGTAAAGCAGATTTCCCTCCCCAATGTGGGTAGGCCTCATCCAATCTGTTGAAGGCCTGAATAGAATAACAGGCTGAGCAAGAAAGAAACCTTCCTCTCTGCCTCCTTGTCTCAGAACTGGTATTGTGGTCTTCCTTCAGACATGGACTCAGAGTGGAATTTACTTTATTGGCTCTCCTTCTTCTCAGGCCTTAAGACTCAAATTGGAACAATACATTTGGCTCTCCTGGGTCTCCAGCTTGCCAACTGCCAATCTTGGAATTCTCAGCCTCCATGATGTCATGAGTCAATTCCTTATAGTGAGTCTCTCTCCCTCTCTCTCTCTCTTTCTCTCTGTCTCTCTCTCCCCCTCTTGGTTCTATCCTATTGGTTATGTTTATCTGGAGAACACATACTAATACAGAGGTCCTATATAAATAGAATGACATCCCGTGTTTATGGATTGGAAGTCATAATATTGTTAAGATAGAAATAATTCCCAAATGATCTATAGATTCAATGGAATCCCTAGCAGAACTTCAGTGGCCTTTTTGCAGAATTGGAAAAGCTAATTCTCAAATTCATATGGAATTGCAAAAGGCCCCAAATAGCCAAAACAATCTTGAAAAAGAATAACAAAGTTGGAGGACTCACACTTTCTGATTTCAAAACTTACCACAGGAGAGCAAGAGAAGAAGAAAGGAACAGAGAGGAACTACAAAACAGCCAGAAAACAATTAACAGAACGGCAATAAGTACATACCTATCAATAATTACTTTAAATATAAATAGACTAAATTCCCCAATCAAAAGACATAGATTGGCTGAATGGATTAAAAAACAAGATCCATCTATATGCTGCCTATAAGAGACTCACTTCAGATGTAAGGACCCACACAGACTAAAAGTGAATAGATGGAAAAAGATGCTTCATAGAAATGGAAATCAAAAGAAATCTAGTATAGCTATACCTATATCAGAAAAAATAGGTTTTAAAAGAAAGACTGTAATAAAAAACAAAGATGGGCATTACATAATGATAAAGGGGTCAATCCAACAAGAAGATATAACATTTGCAAATATTTATGGACCCAACATAGGAGCACCTAACTATATAAAGCAAATATTAACAGATCTAAAGGGAGAAATTTACAGCAATAGAATAATAGTAGGGGACTTTAACACCCTGCTTATATCAATGGATCCAGATAGAAAATCAATAAGGAAACATTGGCTTTAAATGACACATTAGACCAGATGGACTTAATAGACATTTGTAGAACATTCCATCCAAAAGCAGAATACACATTCTTCTCAAGTACACATGGAATATTCTCTGGGATAGATCATATGTTAGGCCACAAAACAAGTCTCACTAATTTAAGAAGATTAGAATAATATCAGGTATCTTTTCTGACCACACTGGTATGAAACTAGAAATCAATTACAAGAACAAAACTAGAAAAATCACAAATATGTGGAGATTAAATAACATGCTACTAAACAACCAATGGGTCAACAAAGAAATCAAAGGAGAAATAAAAAAATACCTCAAGACAAATGAAAATGGAAATGCAACATATCAAAATCTATGGGATGCAGCAAAAGCAGTTCTGAGGGAAATTCATAGCAATACAGGCCTACCTCAAGAAACAAGAAAAATCTCAATATACAATCTAACTTTACACCTAAAGGAACTAGAAAAAGAAGAAAAATGAAACCCAAAGTTAATAGAAGATAGGAAATAACAAAAATCAGAGTGGAAATAAATAAAATAGAGACTGAGAAGACAGTAGAAAAGATCGATGAAACTAAGCAGTGGTTCTTTGAAAAGATAAAAAAATTGACAAACCTTTAGCTAGACTCACTAAGAAAAAAGAAACAAGGCTCAAATAAATAAAATCAGAAATGAAAGAAGAGAAGTTACAACTGACACCTCAGAAATACAAAGAAAGGATCATAAGAGACTACTGTGAACAATTATACACCAACAAATTGGACAACCTAGAAGAAAAGGATAAATTCCTAGAACATACAATCTTCCAAGAACGAATCATGAAGAAATAGAAAATCTGAATAGACTGATTACTACTAAGGAGATTGAATCAGTAATCAAAAACCTCCAACAAACAAAAGTCCAGATGGCTTTACTGATGAATTGTATCAAACATTCAAAGAAGATCTAATACCAATCCTTCTCAAACTCGTCCAAAAAATGAAGAGAAGGGAACACTTCTAAACTCATTTTACAAGGCCAGTATTACCCTGATACCAAAACCACACAAGGACAACACAAAAAAAGAAAATTATAGGCCAGTATCCCTGATGAACATAGATGCAAAAATCCTTACCAAAATATTAGCAAACTGAATTCAATAATACATTAAAAGTATCATACAGCATGATCAAGTGGGATTTATTCCAGGGATTCAAGAGTGGTTCAACATATCAATCATCATGATACACCACATTAACAAAATGAAGGATCAGAATCATACGATCATCTCAATAGATGCAGAAAAAGCATTTGACAAAATTCTTCATCCATTTATGATAAAAACTCTCAAAAAAGCAGGTATAGAGTGAATGTACCTCAACATAATAAAGGCCATATATGACAAACCCACAGCTAACATGATACTCAATAGTGAAAAGCTGAAAGCTTTTCCTGTAAGATCAGGAAGAAGAAAAGGATGCCCACTCTTGCCACTTTTATTCAACATACTATTGGAAGTCCTAGCTAGACCATTTAGGCAAGAAAGAGAAATAAAAGGCATCCAAATCAGAAAGGAAGAAGTAGAACTGTTACTATTTGAGAATAACATGATTTTTTATATAGAAAACCCTAAAGACTCCACCAAAAAGTTGTTGGAACTAACACTAATACACAAATTCACTAAATTTGCAGGGTAAAAAATCAACACACAAAAATCAGTTGCATTTCAATATGCTAACAATGAACTATCAGAAAGAAAAATTAAGAAAACAATCCCATTTACAATTGCATCAAAAAGAATAAAAACATAAAAATAAATTTAACTAAGGAGGTGAAAGACCTGTGTGCTGAAAACTATAAGACATTGCTGAAAGAAATTGAAGAAGACACAAATAAATGGGAAGATATCCTGTACTCATGGATTGGAAGAATTAATATTGTTAAAATGTCCATATTACTCAAAGCAATATATTGATTCAATGCCATTCCATTAAAAAATCCAATGGCATTTTTCACAGAAATGGAACAACCAATCCTAAAATTTGTATGGAACCACAGAAGATCCCAAACAGCCAAAGCAATCTTGAGAAACAAGAACTAAGCTTGAGGTATCACGCTCCCTGATGTCAAACTATGTTACAAAGCTATAGGAATCCAAACAGTATAGTATTGGCATAAAGACAGACACATAGATCAAGGGAACAGAATAGAGAGCCCAGAAATAAACCCACAGATACATGGTCAACTAATTTACAACAAAGGAGCTAAGAATATACAATGGGGAAAGGACAATCTCTGTAATAAATGGTGTTGGGAAAACCAGGCAGCCACGTGCAAAAGAATGAAACTGGACTACTATCAACTCAAAATAAATTAAAGACTTGAATGTAAGACTTGAAACCATAAAACTCCTAGAAGAAAACATAGGCTCAAGTTCCTTGACATTGGTCTTGGCAATGATATTTTGGTTCTGACACAAAAAGCAAAGGCAACAAAAGCAAAAATAAACAAGTAGAACTACATCAAACTAAAAAGCTTCTGCACAGCAAAGGAAATCATCAACAAAATGAAAAGGCAACTTACTGAGGGGGAGAAAATATTTGCATATCATATATACAATAAGGAGTTAGTGTCCAAAATATATAAAGAACTCATACAACTCAATAGCAAAAAAACAAACAATCCAATTTAAAAATGAGCAGAGGGTCTGAATAGACATTTTCCCAAAGAAGACATATGGATGGCCAATAGGTACAAGAAAAGATGCTCAATATCAATAATCAGGGAAATGCAAATCAAAACCACAATGAGATATCACCTCACACCCTTTAGAATGGCCATTATCAAAAAGACAAAAGTGTCGGTGAGGATGTGGGAAAAAAGGAATTCTTGTGCACTGTTGATGGGAATGTAATTTGGTGTAGCCACTGTGGAAAACAGTATGGAGGTTCCTTAAAAAATTAAAAATAGAACTACCATATGACCCAGAAATTCCACTGCTGGGTATTTATCCGAAGTAAATAAAAACTTGAAAAGATATATGCACCCCCATGTTCATTGCAGCATTATTTACAATAGCCAAGCTATGGAAACAACCTAAGGGTTAATTGATGGATGAGTGGATAACAAAAATGTGGTATATCTATATATATCTATATAGAGATATATACACACACACAATGAAAAACTACTCAGCCATGAAAATGAATGAAATCTTGCCATTTGTGACAACATGCATGGACCTTGAGGGTATTATGCTAAGTGAAATAAGTCAGACAGAGAAAGACAAATACCATGTGATTTCACTCACATGTGGAATCTAAAGAAACAAAACGAATACACAAAACAAAACTCATAGATACAGAGAACAGATTGGTGGTTGTCGGAGCGGAGGGGGTTATGGGGGTGGGCAAAATGGGTGAAGGGGGTCAAGAAGTACAAATTTCCAGTTATAAAATAAATAGTCGTAGGGATGCAATGTACAGCTTGGTGAATATAGTCAATAATATTGTATTGCATATCTGAAAGTTGCAAAGAGAGTAAATCTTAAGTGTTCTTATCACGAGAAAGAAATTTAGTAACTTTATGTGGTGATGGCTGGTAACCAGACTTATTGTGGTGATTATTTTACAGTGAATACAAATATCAAATCATTATGTTGTACACTTGAAATTAACAGAATGTTATATTTCGATGATACCTCAATAAAAAACAAAACACTACAAAGCTACATAATCACAACAATGTGGTAATGGCATAAGGACAGACAGATAGATCAATTGAATAGAATGGAGAACCCAGAAATAAACCATATATCTATGACCAATGAATTTTTTTTCAATTTTTTTATTGTGGCAAAATACACGTAAAATTTACCATTTTAATTATCTTTAAGTGTATAGTTCAGTGGTATTAAGTACATTCATATTGTTGTGTAACCATCACCACCATCCATCTCCAGAACTCTTTCATCTTGCAAAATTGAGACTTTATATCCATTAAACAATAACTCCTCATTATCCCCTCACCCTAGCTCCTGGCAACCATCATTCTACTTTCTGTCTTTATGGTTTTGACTACTCTAAGTACCTCATTTAAGTGACATCATACAGTATTTGTCTTTTTGTAACTGGGTTATTTCACTTAGCATAATGTCCTCAAGGTTCATCCATGTTGTAGCATGTGTCAGAGTTTCATTCCTTTTTAAGGGTGAATATATTCCGTTGTATATATATATATACTATATTTTGCTTCTCCATTCATCCATTGATGGACACTTGGGTTGTTTCTACCTTTTGGCTATTGTGAATAATGCTGCTATGAACTTGGATGTACAGATATCTCTTCAAGACCCTGCTTTCAATTATTTTGCTTATATGCCCAGATGCGGAATTGCTGGATCATATGGT